AATAAATATGGAAGACATGGTAAACATTCTTAAAAAGGAATATCAAGGTCACTTGTGTATTACTTCCAAAACAGATAGCATAACCTACAACTTAAGCTTTTGGGTCTATCATGGCAAACTGTATCCTAACATTGAATTACTTGGGCAAGAATAAATATCATTTTAAAAATACTAAGAACTGAATATAACATTCTAAGGCTAGGATTCACTGTCATGATAATATGAACAAAAATTTGAGCTTCATCACACAGCTATTGTGTTTAATTTTATCTCTGGAACCTCACTATAATGCCAGGTATGAGGTGAACTGGGCATTGAGTGTTTGCTTGAAAATTATTAGTGGTATCTTGCATACATTATTAGAAACCATGAAGTCATTATTCATTTAGTTTACATTGGCTCCTTGGGACCTTGGAGTTTTGTTTGACTGAGTTGATTTTACATCATTAAACATCAAATTCCCAGGACTAATAAAGAGAGATCTTGTGGTTTGTGCTCCGCACCACAGGCTGGCATGCGTATGTGTGTGTTGATTCCAGTTGCTCTTTTTCTCTCTATACAGTGAAGGCTAAGGATTTGGACAACATTATTCCCAAGGTAAAAATGAGCTTGCAGAGGCAACCCAATTTTAGTCCACAACGACACAACGAGCCTGACAATTCAGATGGACACAACTTTCCTTCCTAATCATCATTTGCAGGAACTCCAGCCCTCAAACGCTATTTGTAGAAGTGATGTAGATGATTTAAGTTATCCTTTCACTAAGCAAAAAACATGCCTTCACCCCATTGTAATGCATCCTTTATGCAGAAAAACAGCATTGACATTGATGGAGAATGTCCTCCTTGTATGCTGTTTTTCCTCTCCAAAATTTAAACTCATTGTCTCAGGTACTCTGTGGGAATAGGGAGTGTTGTAGAAGCAGCATATTTTTATACATTTATTAATCTAGTCTGCAGGTACACTTACTCTCGGGGGCCCTTTGTGGGGGTAGCTGTAGGACAACAAGCGAACTTTTAAAAAAATGTGAATATATAGCATGTGTCAGAGTGTGGAGTGCACACATTCTACAGAAAGCCGGCCATAAAATACTGAACTGCTGCTGGTGGATGCCCAGCCATAATTGCTCTCTGGAGAGTCAAAGAAGTCGTGTTGCCTCCTCAGCAGAAATTCACCTCCCTCTATGAAAATCTGATAAATTTCCCAGTTTCCCACAGAGGGAACGACAGAGAATTTAATGAGAAACACATTGGAACAGGACCTGTCACTGTGTGATTATGCATTCACTAATCTCACTGTAGGGTACAGAAAAACTCAGTCTTCTCTGAGAGAGTTTATCTGAGAAAGGAGAAAAACACATCTAGAAATAAATTACCAAAAGAGGAATGTCCTCACTCCCCCACTGATACCTACTGACATCTCACTAGGCAGCTTGTTTGCCTTACAAATAGGGAAAAAAAAATCAGGATTTGCATAGTAACCTACTTTATGATGGTCAATGAAACTGAAGTGTGACATGCTGACTAATGTACTGGTCCCTAGAGCAGCTCATAAATGCTTGACGTTTTTTAATTTGGTCTTACAATTTGTGTGTAAACAATCTAAGTATGGTGACAAGGAGAGTGGAGCTTCTCAATCATACTGAAGGAGCTATCTTACACCTAACATGAAATTCTCTTACCTGGGATAGTTTTCCTCAAGTACATCTTACTCGTCAATCAATTCATGCTAAAATTTTTGAAAGACTAAATAATATACCAGGGACCTAGACCTCTTGTGTATACTAAGCTCTGTGAATAAGTCACATATCCAGTGACCTCTACAAAGCATGTCACAGAAACATATTCAATCACTGCCAGCTAGGAGGATTTCCTAAGAGCCATTTGCCTAATGACAGACTATAAAGTACAGTAAGTGCAGACATGCTCCTTCTAGAATTTAAAAATAAGAGAGCACAAAGAATATATTGCACAAGTACTGGGCAAATCAAACATAGCTCATTAGCTGGGTGTCTTACCCAAGTCAGAACTTTAGAGAAAGCTTCCTGAGTGACTGGAGAATAAGAAAACAGTGATTGGGTATTGTGTGGTGAGCTGTCCTTATTCGGAGGAACGATGTCAAAAAAGAGTTCCTCATAGTCCTTCATAGATTTCTTGAAGGCTTGCAGATTATGGAATTAGCATCACAAAAGGAACATTAAAAGGTGGTGTGGGGTCTGAGAACTATTTATTGTGACCAATGACCATTGCCTTCTGTATTAATTCACACTTTCCCTATCCATAAAATTCTGAACTCAGGTATGACCTCAATGTTTTAAGTCTATTAATCCAATATCACTCCTGGTCAGTTGTTTAGTTCTAGGGATCACACACAGAACTTTCTGCATTCTAATAAACGTTCTTCTGCTGATTCTATCCCCAGCAATTTTTTTTTCAACTAAGAATGGGTCTTTTAAATGACATGTATTTCTTACTTCACTGACTTTTTTTTCCCTGTGATTCCCCTGTTCCATCCAGATGTTATTAGTTGAATCTAAACAAGAACCATGTCCCTTTAAAAACTTAATTAGAATTGTCTTGTCCCTTGTTGCACAGCTCTTTCACTTACTTGGTTAGAGTTACACCAAGATATTTTATATTTGTGACTACTGTGAACGGTGTTGTTTCCCTGATTCCTCTGTAGGCCCATGTATCATTTGTTTATAGGAGGGCTACTGATTTTCTTTTAGTTAATCTTGTATCCAGCCAATTCACTAAAGTGTACACTTATCAGCTGTAGGAGTCCCCTGGCAGAGCTAACTAGAATTGCTAATATTTTAAAACTCGTACCATTTATTGTAATAAAACTGGAGACGGTGTTAAAGACCAGATGGTAGAGGTCCGGCTAGGCCTGAGTAGCTTGTGGTGTGAAGGAACTAAGCTGGGAAGTGTTGAAGAGCTCTTGACTTATTAACTACCATATCTGGTAACTTATAACTACGTAAATGCGGTTTGATGACTTGAGGCGCACTTGAACGACCTAGTACAGCTTAGATCAGTGGTTCTCAACCTGGGGGCCATGACCCCTTTGGTGGGGTCAAGTGACCCTTTCATGAGAGTCACCTAAGACCATAAGAAAGCACAGATATTTACATTATGATTCATAACAGTATCAAAATTACAGTTGTAAAGTAGCAAGGAAAATAATTTTATGGTTGGAGGTCACCACAGCATGAGGAACTGTATTAAAGGGTTGCAGCATTAGGAAGGTGGGGACCACTGTCTTAGACTGTTAGGTGTGAGACAGCTTCCACTGCCTTTTGTCTCTTCTATCTCCAAGACTTTCAAACAGGACAAAAAGAGCTCCAAGTAGGAAGTAATTCTCTCTCTGTCTTCATAAGAGGAAAATATTGCTTCCAACACAGTGATACTTTCTACAACTAGGTTAAAAACTAAAAGAAGATAGATTGAGAGCCGTCATGCTTTACCTAAAAGTTCCTTTTAAAACATTTTATAGGTAATTTATATAATTAATTTGCCTCTCTGATTTGTACTTTCTAACTTCTAGACTATGCTATTTGGAAATGACTCTTGTCAGTGTCTTTTATCATTATCACACAACTTCATACTGTGGGGCCACTATAATTCAGGTACAAGGACAAAAGTGATTTATATCCGCAGTTATCTACAATTAGTTTCCTTAGAAGGGAGCAAAGGTTGATTTGGGGAACTACAATGCTGATCATCTTATTTGGACTCCTCTCTTTATCTCTGTATATGTTCCACACAAAGAATATTGGGAACTTAAAACAATTGACAAAACTGAATTATCAGCCTGATGTTTTTATCTGTTTGACACAAACTGGTATCCTAAATATTGACACTTTTGGTTGAACAGGATCATAACCAGGCAGCTTTGTTTGACAATAGATGAGCTAGTTATTTAAAAAGAAAAAAAAAACCAAACAAAAAAATGCTTGTGGTGGCGCATACCTTTAATCGCGTCACTTGGGAGGCAGAGGCAGGTGGATCTCTGTGAATTAGAGCCCAGTCTGATTTACAGAGGGAGTTCCAGGACAGCCAGGGCTACACGGAGAAACCCGGTCTTGAAAATAAAAATAAAAATAAGGAATTGTATGTATACAAATCAACTGTACATGATTCACTTAATTGAAGCTTTCACCTTAACTGTGTATTAATTAAATGTAACCGTATATTGCCAGTAAACTTCAGGTAAGTGTAATTTAATTTATTTTTTCAATTTCAGTATGGCTCTAAATTCTGAAATTAATGAGTCCTGACTTGTATATAATATATATTTGGTTACTCTCCTAATTCGACCTTCATATGTTAATTAAGTCAAACTCAAAGTACAAGATAAGCTACACTTCTTGCTATAAAGTGTGAGTGGTATTTAGTTGATTTGGTGCATATATTAATTCGTTAACTGTCATCTGCTTCTTCCCCATTTATTAACAGGATTCCTAATCTCTGCTTCTCTGTGTAGTCTAATAACTGGATAAACAGTTCACAATTTTTAACAAGACATTTAAATAAGCTAGAAGAGGGTTTGTAACATTGTCCCGTGTAGGTCGGGCCGTGTAGTAGCGCTACAGGAGTTTGACGGAACCTGTTCTGTGCAAAATGCCATTCTCATTTAAATCAGGACTATTCTAAAGTATATGCTAATTAAAACTTGGAGCAATTCATTACTTAAAAAAAATCATGTGTTAAGTGTGGTACTTAGTGAAATTATTGGCTTTATAACAAACTTCTAGACTGCATGCATGATATTTTCATTCTGGGTATATTACACATAACATATACATGTACAGTTTGTTCCCATTAAAACAATGCAACCTGTATGTGGGGTACTGAGTTCAATTTTGATGTGTCTTAGTGTGTGTACCGGAGTAAGCCATACTTGGTTTTAAGTAAAATGTTTATCAGTATTCCTCCAATATACAGGAGTATAAAGCACAGACTTGTGTGAATGCGTCTGCTCTATGAAAGACACACAGCTAATGGTCATATGCACATTTTTATTGCAGCATTTATGAATATAAGATGAACACTTGTATTTCATAGATCTCCATAAAAATGATTATTCAAGAAAATAAATTTTGTAACTCTTTGTAAGTTAAACTTTCTGTGATTCCCGTCCAGTGTTTGGCATTTGAGTTGAGAATGAAGTGTCATTTTCAACGTATCAAATTCCCAAATTAAGCTCCTATGTCAGATGACATCAGATTTTCTTATAGCAGAGCAGACTCACTCGCTGCACTCCTTACCTTTAGGATAGAAAGCTCAAAGGTATTTGATTGAATAATAGGAGTATTTTTGACCATGAGTCTCAGCATGAATACCTGTTCAGTGATTCATCTACACACAAGCACGCATCGCGCGTGTGCGCGCACGCGCACACACACACACACACACACACACACACACACACACACACGCATGCACACACCCACCCTCGCACACACCCTGATTAGTTGCTCTCTGTGGGTCTGTACAGTAAGGACAACTGGAGTCAGAAGTGTGTTTAAGCACTCCAGTTTCATGGTGTATACTTGATGGACAGGATAAAATGTATTCCTTCAGCTGTTCTTGAACAAGGGCAGGGGCAGGTAAAAGGAGACGCAAAAGAGACAGAATGAGATCGCCACAGATGCTGCACACTTCCTGTGCTTTTGCCTCCGTCCTTTTCTTTACATCCAACCTTGAAATCCATCAGAACGTTCTCATATTGTCCTCCTTCTAATCGTGAGAGCCCAGCCACTGACGTGGCAGGATTCCACAGAACGCCGTGACTTAATACACAATACACACCTCCCAGCTGAGCCTCTGGGGCTGTGGAAGCACATTTAAACATTTTAAAATGTAGAACTAAATTTACGTGGCTTGAGGTATGGCTACAACAAAGTAAACAATGCAATGAAGAAAAAAACAATGCAAAGGAGAGCCACATGCTACCAGACAATCAATCAAAATGTTTATAATCCACGAACAGCAATAAATGGACTGCTTGTGGCACATTAATTAAAATAATAAAAGTAAGAAAATATGCTCAATGTAGAGGTACCTTAAAAAAAAACAAAAGTTTATAAAATATTTTATCTGCATTAAAATATTCTTTGGAAAACAAAAATAAAAATGTATCATGTTTGTTCTTTCAGACTGATCTGTAAAAGTCACAAAAATACATACAGTCCAGGGTATGGAACATTCTAAATACGTAGAATGCTAAACATCCTCTAATCACGAAGTCTTTATACCTTACTGAGCTGAAGGGATGTGTTCCCTGGATCGCTACAGAGAATCCCATTTCTGTATCTATTTAAAATTAAAAAAATAAAATAAAAATAAAAAATAAAGCAGTTTTGTTCCAGTCAAAGTGACACAATGACCTGACTTCCACAGGTGTAAGCACAGCGGAGGGACGGAGATACACTGCGTCCGAAGGTTTCCTTCAGGGCTCCATGATGCCTGTAGAAGGTCCTGAGGCGGAAGAGTGGTTTCCCACAAGGCTGAGATGAGCATCATCCAAAGCGAAACTTCAATCTGTACTTCACTGGGCTGGGACTTCTGCGAGGTGGCGACAGGGGGACCTTTGGTTTCACCGGGCGAGGTGGCTTTTTCTTTTCTGGTACAGTGACCGTGAAGGAAAGTTCAGGTTGCTCGGACTGCTTGAATCTGGGTAGGAAGTGGGTGGAGACGTGCTGGGGTTTGACCCGTGGGCTGCAGCCCCGCTTGGCCTTCCCTCTCTTATTCAGGGCCACGTACCACTCCCGCCCCGTCTTTTCAGTTCTGTGGATTGCGGACGCATAGGTATTATAGCTGTTTTCTTGAAATCTCTCCCTGAACTTACAGTCATCTGTAAATTTAGCCTAGAGAGGGGAAAAGAGGACATTTAAGTTGTGACAATAGTTCAGCACACAAATACTTATAATACATGTAAGTACGAAGTCTTGAAAACCCAAGAATTCTGTGACTCCAGGACCCTCCTACTCTGCTACTTACTCGGTTCCCTTTTATAAAGATATGTTCCTTTTAAAGTGTGTGTGTGTGTGTGTGTGTGTGTGTGTGTGTGTGTGTGTGTGTGTTTCTATAATCCTATCTTTGTAACACTATGTTTTATTCATTATGTTTAGGATATATAGTGTCATTGTTTACAAAAATACCAGACTATTGGATTTAAGTATTATAAATTCTCATTTTAATACATATAAATACTATTACTGTTTTTAAAATACTTTGAAATCTGTATCTAAAATGTCTTAACATAGGAGTTTCCCCTACAAGTAATTAAAAAAAAAATAGAACTAGATTACTAAGAAACAATTGCCTAATAAGAAATACATTCAGGTTTGCAGAAGGTCAAGATCCTACCAGGAACGCAGCTAGCAGGGTCATATGATTCTTTTGAAACAAGCACACATTTTCAGTGTTGTCAGTGTGATTCTTGATGCTGAGAGAGGGGTGGCATATGGCTCTATTAATATTGCATGTGTTAGAGTTCTAAAGGAAAAAATATATCTTCACATATGTGGTTCAAGAAGGTACATCTGATGCCAGGAAGAAAAAAGTCATAGCATCATTCGCAGTGATTCACCTGCATCTTATACATCCTCACAGACAAGCTAGCTTCCAAACGCACAGGAAGGTGGAAGAGCTGACACCCACCAAGGTACAGCTTATTGTAAGGAAATGCGACCCCCGTGTACAGGGAGTACAATGGTAACAGTGGAAGTGGTAAGCAAGAGTGCAGGAAAACCCTATAAAAGTCAACATTTGGGCTGCGTCACGTGTAGCAAGACAGTAAGGAGGCATATGAGTAACCTCCAGGAAACAGGAATGTGTGTTCAGATGCTGTGAACACTGATAAGTCATTCTGTGTGACTTCCGTTTGGGATATATGTTGGAAAGGACAAGAGATGGGGTCGATAAAGTAGGCCAGTGCCGGCTCCCAAAGAGCTTGTTTGCCAAATGGATACATCTGGAGGAATATGTCGGGGGAACAGTATAGGCATGCATCAGTCTTCCTGCCGTGGCCTGGTACTGCCTCCTGAGCTCTTATCCATTTAGTTTCTATGCAGAAGCTCTGCCTACGAGGCTACTGTGATAATCAATCCATTTTCCTAGGGTAAGGATCTATAATTCCCATCAAACACACAAGAGGCCAAAACCTTGAATGACTTAGGAGTTCCTGTACTAGTTAAGGCTACCAAGATTTACAGTTTCAGGGTCCCTTTTGCACAGAGCTCCTGGGTTTGAGAATAGTGGGTGGCTTTTACCCCTTATGGTTTATTTCTGGGTAGAAAGGTGTTCTGTTCCTTGCTTTTCCTAATAATACAATAACTTTCCCCTGCAATGCAGATCACACACTGAATCTAAAAGCCTGGCTCCTGCAAGGAGATTTACACGAATCAGTTATTGAGTCCCATAAACTCTTTTTTTTCTTTTTTGCTTCTGCAAATCGGAAGAAACTAACGAGAGGAAAACTCACAGCAGAGCATTTCCAACAACATGTTGATCTATGGGCAACAGACTCACCACGTCTTTTACACTGGGGTCACGCAAGTTTCTTCCAGTTGCTATGAAAGAATAGATGGATATTCCACCAGACCGGTAGAACTCTGCATTGGATCTGCTAGGTTGGAAGCAGGTGTGTTACAGGACTACCCCCACATGTGGCATCGTCTCCTCATGTCTTTTAACTCCCAAACTGTCAGCCCATGTCTACTCCAAGGATGCTGCTGTAAGAACACGGCTTTGGAAAAAGCACATTACTTGTTCCCAGTTTTTATTAAAGAGACTTTCTTTATAAATTCAATCTAATTTTTTTCTATACCTGCTCAGCTCTTTAAAAGATTTCCCTTCTGGTGTAAATAGACATAGGTATGATTTTAATACTTTTGTGAGACAGAGTCTTACTATGTACCCCAGGCTGCCCCAGAACTTTCCATGTACACCAGGCTAGCCTTAAGTTCACAAGAATCAGACAGCCTCGGACTCCTGACCCAGATTATTTTATTTTATGTTTTTTTGAGGCAAGGTCTTGCTACATGACCCTGGCTGTCCTAGAACTCACTCTGTAGACCAGGCTGGCCTCAAAGTCACAGAGGAACACCTGCTTCTTCCTCCCAAATGCTGGGATTGAAGGCATGTGCCACCACACCTGGCTTCCAGTTACATTTTAAAATAAAAACCTTAACCACCTCAGCTGTTTGTGGCTCCATAAAATGAAAACTATTTTAGAAAGACATGGAGCATTTTGTTACAAAGAATAACAGGCCAGGGCTGCAGATGGATCAATGTTCGGCTGCTTAGCATGTGCAAGGCTCTCGGTTTAATCCTTAGCATCTCAAGCACCAACACAAGCCATTTTATTTTACAATGTTGCCAAATAACACAGGCACACAAAGCTATGTCCGGTTTTTGAAGTGGGCTGTATTATTTGGTCTTGTTTACACTCATGGTCTCTAAGGAAGTAAAGACAGGTCACCTTTTAAAGTGTCTGACGCATGAACGTGTGCACATGTTCACTTGAGCGTGGGTATGTGACCGTGCACACACACACACACACACACACACACACACACACACACACACACACACACCCTGTTTAAAAACACGTATTAGTTCTATCATAGAATGAAAAACCCTCTTGATCCAACCTCTAACATTATTCAGCGTAGAGATTTCCTCCACTTTCTGAAGGATTCATGCTCTGAGGTTCATTTGGGAAGGTGATGACTTCTGAGGCTGCCCATCTTTCAAAGGTCACACCAAGTAGAGATAACAGCGTGCTAAAGTCCCATACACTGTATGCAGCCCCTCATTGAGTAAAAAGGCTGGAGTGAAAAGAACCAAACTGTTTGGATTTTTCTTAATTGACTTCTAATTTGTGTTTTGTCTGAAAAATCCCATCTATGAAATACCAGAATTATTTGAACAAATCTTTCCATGGCCTTTTTCATTAGGAAACCTAGTTTTGTCTTGAAGGACAGACAGGTCCTGTCAGTAGCCTTGCCTTCTCACGGGTAAGGTGGTGACTAAGCAAAATGTCTGATACAATGGTCAGCATGGAGCACCTCAGAGCAGAGTGACCGGGAAATATGGACCTACCAAAATAAGTATACATTTACCAAAATGAATACAGTTATTCTTTTAAAACCTTGGAGAGGCTGGGCAGCGGTGGCTCATGCCTTTAATCCCAGCACTTGGGAGGCAGAGCCAGGCGGATCTCTGTGAGTTCGAGGCCAGCCTGGTCGACAGAGCGAGATCTAGGACAAACACTAAAACTACACAGAAAAACCCTATCTCAAAAAAAAAAAAAAAACCCAAAAATATAAATAAAAAAAACCCTTGGAGAATAACTTTCTAGAGTAATTTTTCTTCACTTTTTGTCATTGAAAATATTTTCAAACAATATATTTGGACCACCGTTTCCCCTCTCTCACGTCCTTCTAGATCCTCCCCACCCATCCAACACCACGACTTCTTTCTCTTTAGAAAACACACAGGCAAATAAAACAAACAAATTAGAATTTTTTTTTAAAAAGCAAAAGCACAAGAAACACACACGCACCTCCAAACAAAACCCATAAAAACAAAAATCAGAAACCATCATTTACAAGCGAAAGACCAGTGAGATCTTTTTAAATGCCCAAACAAAGCAATATGAGACAAAAAAATAAAATCTACAGAAGCACCTTCGAGTTCCTTTTGTGTTGGTGTCTACCACAGGGCATGGAGCCTGCGCTTAGGTGTGATTTGTGTGCCCAATGAGACCCCACCGGAGAAAAACTAACTCTTCTTTACAAGCACATTGTCTAGTGGAGATAGCTTCTTGGTTAGGGATAGGAGCTTGCATGCACCTCTCAGCGCTGGGATCCTGTCTGCTTTGGACCTGTGCATGCTGCCCCCGTGTCTGTGTGAGTTTATATGTGTGTGAGTCCTTGTATTTGGGAGACACTGTTTCCTTGGCGTCCTCCACTCCTTCTGGCTCTTACAGTCTTTCCACCTCCTCTTCTGCACAGCTTCCTGAGCACCGAGGAGAGGGGGGGTTGATGAAAACATTTCATTTAGGACTGAGTGTCACTAGGGTCCTTTTCATGTTACATTCTGCTTTAAATTATAGGACATTTTTTTTAAACAAAGTATATGGTTTTTAAATGATAGAAATGCATTATTTCCCTGGCGGGGGAGTGAAGTTGGCATGCACACTTTCATTTATCGGAGGTATGATATAGGCAGGTGAATCAAATGCTAAATCAGCCACGGAAATCAGGACTCATAACTTCGGTGTCCCACCACTGTCTGCCACTAGGGCAGGAAAGCCTCAGCTCGCTGTTTTGGCTGGGCAGGGTGGCACACACTTGTAATCTCAGCATCCAGGAGACGAAGGCAGGAGAACGGACAGGAGTTCAATGAGAACTGGTCCCAAAAAAAGAAAGAAGACGAAAAGACAAAATTACCCCTATCTTTGTTTCAAATATGTGTTTTAATTGATTCGATAGCTGTTTGCTGACTGTGGAGCCAAATGCTATGCTATTTGCAGCTTTTACAGGGAAAAACTATATAGGCACATAAGCCCTTCCAATCTTCTTTAATGAATTAAATTATCTGTGTTTTTCTTTTTAATTTCTGCTCATCTTACAAGCCTCAAGGCAAGTTACAATCAAGAGACCCCGCCGGTCGTTGGTGGCGCACACCTTTAATCCCAGCACTCGGGAGGCAGAGCCAGGCAGATCTCTGTGAGTTCGAGGCCAGCCTGGACTACCAAGTGAGTTCCAGGAAAGGCGCAAAGCTACACACAGAAACCCTGTCTCGAAAAACCAAAAATAAATAAATAAATAAATAAATAAAAAATAAACAATCAAGA